TAAATGGGAACTGAACACAACAAAAATCGCATGTAAAAACTGATGAGCCCAGCCCTGGCCAGTCTGGTTCAGTGGGTAGAGCATCAGCCCTCAGACCAAAGGGTTATGGGTTCAATTCCCCATCAAGAGCACATACCTGGGTTATAGGTTCAATCCCCAGCCCTGGTCAGGGTGTGTGCAGGAGATAATGAATCGATGTGTCTCTCTCACATCAATGTTTCTCTCTCTCTCTCTCCCCCCTTCCTCCCCCCCTTCCACTCTCTCTAAAAATCAATAGAAAAAATATCCTCCAGTGAGGATTAACAAAAACAAGCAAACAAACAACCAAAAAGCTGTTGAGCTCAGCTGGAGTGGCTCAGTTGGTTGAGTGTCGTCCTGTGCACCAATAGGTTGCTAGTTTGATTCCTGGTCAGGGCATATAACCCTAGGTTGCAATAACGGATCAATGTTTTTCTCTTACATCAAGGTTTTTTTTTCTCTCTCTCCCTCTCTCCCTTCCTCTCTGTAAGCACATCCTCAAGTGAGGATTAAAAAAAACAAACAAAAAAAACAAACCCTGATGAAGTCAGAATAAAGTCTACAGTTTATATATAGTGTTGCACTGTTGTACTAATGCCATTTTCTTGGTTTTAAAAATGGACTACAGTTATTTAAGATGTTATCATTGCAGAAGATGGGTACACAGGAAGTCTTTGCATTATTTTTGCAACTTCTTGTGAGTCTTAAATTATTTTTTGTTTGTTTTGGTTTTTGTTTTTTTTTGGTACGTGCCCCTAGCAGGAACCAAACCCGGAACTCTCTGGTCCGCAGGCCGAGGCTACAATCGCTGAGCCAAACCGGCCAGGGCTGAGTCTTAAATTATTTTAAGATAAAAAGTTTCTTTTTAATTTTTTATATATAGGTTTTTTGTTTTTTTTTTTTTAGAGAGAGACATTGGTTGGTTGTTCTACTTATTTATACATTCATTGGATGATTCTTGTATGTGCCTTAACTAGGGATTGAACCCACAACCTTGGCATATCGGGATGATGCGCTAACCAACTTGAGCTACCCAACCAAGGCAAGATAAAAAGGTTTTGTTGTTTTTATTTAATGGGAATGTGGCTCAAAGACATGTGAACACGTATTTGTAGCAGCATGGTTGGTAATAGCAAAACTGGGAATCAACTTAAACAGCCCCCTCATTGACAGGAGACTGGCTTCGTAGATTCTGGCACATGCATGCAATCAGGTGTTAGGCAGCCGCTAGGAAGAACGGAGCACGGAGAGAAGAAAGCAAGGTGCAGAACCGCGGTGACGCCGAGAACGTTCCTGCAAGCACGCGTTCCAGCGTGCGGAGCCCGGAGGCTGGGAGGCAGGGGAGAGAGGCTTTTTCTTTATTACAGCAATTTAACATAAAGGTGCATGCATTACCTATTTAAAAGTAAAATGTTTTCAAATGTGAGGAACCCTGAAAAGAAGCCTCAAGACCTTTCTAGCTATTAGCCATATATAAATAAAGGCAAGAAACCATATAATAAATGCTTGATAGATCTAAGTCAAAGTTTAAAATCTTTATATGTTAAAATCACTTTAAAGGTAAAAAGAAATGAGGAAATTTTCTCATTTCTTAGGTCTAATTCCAGAGTCAGTGTTCTGATTATAAAAAAGTGAGGGAGCCCTGGCCGGTTTGACTCAGCAGTTAGAGCCTCAGCCTGCGGTTCAGAGAGACCCGGGTTCGGTTCCCGCTAAGGGCAGTACCTCGGTTGCGGTTTGTCCCCGGCCCTGGTTGGGTCGTGTGGGTGGCAGCCACTCAATGTGTCCCTTTCATGTCGATGTTTCTCTCTCTCTCTCTCTCTTTTCCTCTCTCTCCCTCCCACTCTATCTGAACAAAAAATGAAAAAATGTCCTTGGGTGAGGATAAAAAAAAAAGTGAGGGAAATATTTGTAGCAGCTGTGACAGCTGAAGATTAAAATCTTTAAAATATGCCCTGTCCAGTTGCTCAGTGGTTAGAGTGTTGGCCCATGAACTAAAGAGTTGCAGGTTCGATTTCAGTCAAGGGCATGTACCTCAGTTGCGGTTCGATCCCCGGTCCTGGCCGGGGTCATGTAGGAGGCAACCAGTTGATGTCTCCCTCTCACATTAATGTTTCTCTTTCTTTCTCTCTGTCTCCCTCCCTCCCACTTTATCTGAAAAATCAATGGAAAAATATGCTTGGGTGAGGATTAATAAAAAATAAATAAATAAAACCTTTAAAATATTAAGAGCCTATCTACTAATAGAGAGGAAAAACATAAACACCCCAAAACAGAAAAATTGGTTAAGGATATGAGTGATGGGCTACTCACAGAAGAAGAGTATATTTGGCCAATAAATATACCAAGAAATGTCTACTCTCGCCAAACTTCCAAGAAAGGTAAATTACAGCAAAATAGCATTTCCCACCAATCAGACTGGCAAAAAATGAAATAATACATTTTACCCAGAAATTCTTTCTCTACAAATTTATCCTAAGGAAATAAGCGTTGCATGGGGAAATTTTTATATAAAGGATAAAATTTCTAATTTAAAAAATTCAGAAATGACTTGATTGTTCAACAAGAAGAGATTGATCAAATGAATGAGGGCTTAGCTATTCTGTGTAATAAAATGTAGCCATTAAAATAGTGTTCAGACCTATATTTATTGATAGGCAAGGATGGTCATAGCACTGCTAAGTGAATAAATCAGATTATATAACAATTGCTAAAAACCTATGTCTAGCACTAGATACAATGTTCCATCTTGGGGAAAAGTGCATATGATTTTTGTCTCTCCTAAATGAAAATATATCTAGAAAGCTTTGAACGGAAACCCTCCAAAATGCTGACCGTGGCTCTCTTGGGACAGGTCAAACAGAGCATTTTTTCTTTTGTTTATCTTGGTTCTCTTTTTTGCCTATGCATATGGTGTGTGAGTGTGTGTGTGTGTGTGTGGGGGGGGGGGTTAAATAAATGAAACAATAAGGCTTGTTCATTCTATTAAGATGAAAATTGCAATAGCATCAAAATCAGGCATGTTTGGACAAAGCTGGTTGCAACTCGTGTGGAAAATGCTGCTTATTTTCTTTTTCTCCCCAGTCCCAATAGGCAGCACCCAAACCTACTCACAACATCCCTTTCCCATCACAAGCCACAGCTCTCGCTGCGGGGGATGGGGCAGCGCAGGTAGGGACAGCCTTCCTTCCAGCACCTAGGAGTGACAGGTGAGCTCTTTCTCGTCGTGGCACTGACTGGCAATGTGGGATACCTGCATTAAAGCAGCTATGATTCTATTCTGCATGGTGCACTATACCAGGCACTGGGCCAGTCATTGGGAAGGACACGGACAGGAATAGGTAATGGTCACCATCTTGGTCACAGAGGTATTAGTTGTGAACAACAGGACCTGCTCCAGTGTGAGCAGGAAAGAATCTATGAAAGATGTCACCCAGCTCACAGGCTTTGTGGAGGGCCAGAGACAGACAGACTTGGCTGCCACAAGGCCAGGTGAGTGACCCCAAACCTCACTGCTGATTGCTTCAGCAAGACCTCACTGACCCTTCTCCCAGTCACTGTCCCTCACATGACTGGCACTGCACATTGGTCTGCCAAGACCCTCGCCCTGGGAAACATGTCCCCCATCATCATTCTCAGGGCACTGTGCATGATGCCAGTTTCCATGAATCCTCTTTGAGGGGTCCCGCTCGGTGTGTCTGATTGTGGAGCTCAGGTCACATGCCTGTGGCAAGGAAGGGGGGACACAGATGCCCAGCTACCGCACAGGTATGGTGGGACTCACTCTGTGAGAAATTCTTCAAACTTGGTGCTTCAGAAGACACGGAAGGGCCACCAGCCCTGATGAGCGGCCCGGACCTCCGGGACTTTGCGTCCCCAGGCAGCTGGAACGGCCGAGGTGGGAGCAGGAGCGCGGGAGCCCGGCGAGCGGGGGCAGCCCTCCAGGGGAGCGGAGGAGCGAACTCGCGGCACTGGAGCTGGCGAGCCCGGGGTCGGAGTGGAAGAGGGGCACAACAGAACCCCCGTGGCCAGCTCCGAAGAGCTCTGAGAACCAGAGAGGCCTGAGCTGTCGTCCGTGGGGACAAGGAATCCAGAGTGGGATTTAGGCCCTGAGCAAGCTGTGGGGGGAACCATTCGGGGACAAAATGGTGTCATGGACTGAACTGCATCCCACGAAATTCATATGTTGAAATGCTAACCCCTAGGACCTCAGAACGGGACTGTGTTGGAGAGAGGGCCTTTAAGGAGGTTAGTTAAAATGAGGCTGTGAGTTCGAGATCTAACCCAATACGACTAGTGTCCTCATACACAAGGGGATAGGACACGGACGCACGGACAGGGAAGGCCCTGGAAAGACACAGGGAGCAGGTGACCACCTGCAAACCAAGCAGAAGAAACCAACACCTTAATCTCAGACTTCTGGCCTCCAGGATTGTGAGAAAAAGAGTTTCTGTTGCTTAAGCTGCCCCGTCGGAGGGATTTGTTATGGCAGCCCAAGCTGACACCCACGTGATAAGCCCCTTCAATGTTCCGGGAGCTGGTTGCCGCCCCCAGTGCCCTCCTGGGCGTAAGGCGTAAGGCGGGCGAGCAGGTGCTTCTGAAGAGCATTGTTGAGCAAGATATGGCTGGCTTGGTGCAGCAGAGAGCAAAGGCTTCAGATTCGAGAAGAGTTCCGGAAAGTTCTGGAAAGCGCTCTGTGAGCACAAGTGGCTTGTCAAGGGAAACGGCTGCCATCTGCTCCTTCAGGACAGGCCCTCAGGGTGCCCTGCTAGGCCCAGGGCCGACCCGCTGAACCGTTCAAGTGCCTCCTTGAAGTCCAGCCACCGCCTGGCGCGTGATTGGCATCCCCGAGCCTCTGTTTCTGTATGAAATCAAACAAGATAGCATGTCACATGCCCAGCCACGCACCCGGCGCAGGGGCAGGCTCAGCCCAGGGCAGCTCTCCTCTTCATGTCAGGGCAAGTGCATATCAGGGGTGGAGGAAACACACAATTAGGGTGGAGACCTGATTTATGAACAACTCGTAAATCATCTGAAGCCAGTTTCCTGTTCACAGTCAGCCCTCTGTAAACACTCAGTGTGTCCTTGGCGGCTTACCTCTCCCAGCGATGCAGACACGTGGCAGCCGTCTCCTACATAAGTCTGCTGTGGCTGTCCCTGGGTGCACGGCCTGTGAGGACCCTTGCTCATCACAATGGTAGGTACACGAAGGCCAGGAAAAGGAAAAAGGGCGTGCCGTTTATTCCTTATTTTAATGTGCTGTGAAATGTGCTTCTGCTAGACACAACCTAATGGTAAATGTGAGCTAGTTCGGAATCTTCTCTACATTAGTTGCAATTCAATGTGTAGAGGGTGATGAGAGGCTGGGAGGCAGAGAAAATCTTAATGAGGTTAGCACTATTTCTGTTCTCTAAGATCAAAGCTATTGTTTTTTCCACTAAGTTTGGGATTCAACTAGGTTTCATATGTGTCTCTCATCCTTGGGCCCGAGGTGAGTGATTTGTGAATTAAATATAATTTCAGAGCTACAGCACTGCATCGACTTACGGGTGAGAAAGCGAGCCTGGGGAGGGGAAGCAGCTGCCAGGGGTCTCCCTGCTCTCGGGTGGCAGCTGACACGGGAGTCCAGGTGTCCCTCTGTCTAGGCCGGTGGCTCCCAAACCAGGCTGCACAGTGGACTCACCTGGGCACCTCTGATGACTTCGATAACTCACCCCACACCAGACACTCTGAGTTCATTGGTTTGCAGTGTGTCTTTGGTAATTGAGGGTTTTAAAAGCTCCCCAGGTGATTTTATTTTTTGTTAATCCTCACCAGAGGATATTTTTCCATTGATTTTTAGATAGTGGAAGGAAGGGAGGGAGAGAGAGAAAAACATTGATGTGAGAGGAACACATCAATTAGTTGCCTCCCGCATGACCCTGACCAGGACTGAGATGGAACCCACAACCCAGGTATGTGCCCTTGAGCAGGAATTGAACCCAAGGCCCTTCAGTGTGCAGGCTGATGCTCTAACCACTGAGCAAACCAGCCAGGGCTGCCCGGGTGATTTTAATATTCAGCAAAATTTGGGAACCATCACCCTAAGCCCTTTCCAATGTATCATGTCATATTAAGAACAAGTTTTGCATCAAAATCTATGAAAACTCATTTAGTCCTCCTTCTGTCTTCAATTTGAACTTGATCCTTTAAAGGTATCTTTTGCTAGAACCAGTAGAAGGGAATGAACTGGGCTGTTCTTGGGGTGCGAAGGAGAAGAGGAAGGAAGGGCCACAGCTGGGAGTAGAAGAGAGAGGTTGCTGGATTCTCTGAGTGGAGCTGGGGCCTCCTCAGGTCACACCTCAGAAATGGCCTCAGAAAGGTGAAGCTGGGAATAGTAGGAAAATGGTGGGTGGGATCCTCAGAGTGAACTTTGTAAACTGCAGCCCTGGCAACATCCCTGCCCTGCTTAGGACCCTTAAAGATGCCTGACTCTTGATGATGCAGGGAGACCCAAAGAGCAGCAACTTACCCTAAAGGACACTATTTCTAGGGGCACTGCTAGCCTGCTTCACGCCAAGGCTGGCATGAAGCTGCTCTCTGGAAAGTCTAACAGAAGCCTGCCTCCTGGCTGCACTGTCCCCTGTGCCTGCACACATCAGGTGCTCATCGTTACTGAATGCAGGAAAGGAAGCGCAGAAGGGAGGGAAAGAGGTGGAGGAACAGAATATGACAACAGAAAGGACTCGAGAGCCTCTCTGCTCAGGTGGTCTTCAGCCCAGCAGCATGGGTGTCACCTGGGAGCTTGTAGAAATTAGGGCTCTTCGAGTCCCACCAAAGCAGAATCTGCATTTTATTTTACAGAATGTCCCAGGGATCCATATCGACACGAAAGCAGCACTGTTGTGATTGTGTTTCTTGTGCTCCTCGCCTGGGGGACTTGGTACAGGTGCGAAGGCCTTAGCCCTGTCCTTCTTCAATGAGCTTGAGACTGTTCATTAGCAGCCTAGGTTACTACGATGCCTGCCCGTGTATGAGACCCCTGTTTTTACAGGGGGGAAACTGAGGCAGAGAGAAAGAGTAGGGAAGGAAGGGAGAAAGAATGAGAGAAAGAGAATGGAGGTTACATGTTTAGATATTGTCAACTGGTTAATCTCAAAGCTGAATACTTTGCTCTCTCTTGTCACCGTGTTTGAACGCCATCCCTGAGTCATTCGATTGGGTGCCTCCACTCAGAGCAGCGGGAGATCTGGGACTTCTGCCCCTCACTCACCCTGGGCTGCAGCCCGGGTTTGTACCCATTGATGCTTCTGTTCTGTGACTAGATAAAACGAGATCTCCAAGATTCCTGTGATCATCAGCGCCTCCCAGGAGCCCCCTTTCTGGATGAAGGGAAAAGAGATTCTGTCAATAAGGCTGGCTTTTAAATTAGTCTTATGTGTTGTTGCTTTTTTGTTTTCTTTTTGCAGGAAAAATATCAGATTTCCACAATGATCTTAAGCTGAAGATTATGCAAAAGAATGAAATAGAGAGAGTAGGAGCAACCTTGAGTTCTGAGCTAAGCACATTGAGAGTTTATTGTAGGAATCGACTTATTCCTTTTTATTATAAAACCAATGCATTTCATTGTAAACAATTTAGATAATAAGAGGAAAAGCCCAAAGAAAAATCCCACATGTCAAAAATCACTTGTTAAAAGATGGTACAAAACTTCAGTCTCTTTCTGAGCATCTTTCTCTACATGGGTCTTTTTCACCTCATAGCAGTTACACAATGCAAATTTTTCACTTACTCATAATAGTGATCATTTATGCTACTTCATGTTCTCTTACCTCCTAAGTTACCAGTTCTCTTTTTCGGAATCACTATGTTCTCAAACAGCCCTATTTGGGGACATTTTGGTTGTTTCCAGTTCCCTGCTGCAGTGAGCATCCTTGAAAAGAAGTCCGTCTCCTTCTCTCTGCCATTCTTCTTAGGATCACGTCTTAGCAGTAAAAACATGAAGTCGAACGTTGTAGACAGTTTTAAGAATGTGGATATACACTCTCAAGCTGTGCTCCATAAAGAGTATTACAGCCTAAACCAGCCCTGTGCATTCACTTCCCAGATGTGCCTCTGATTCCCTCTGGATGTTAGAGGTGAAAGAATTATTTTTGTCATCCCATGTGGTTCTATTTTATGTACATATTTACACTGGCTTTTTCATCAGTAAGTTGAACTTTGCCATATGTTTGTTCATCATTTCTATTTGTGTATGTGTGTGAGAAATGTCACTTTATTTTCGTTGCCATTTTTCTACTAGGATGTTTTTCTTTTTCTTGTTGATATACAGAAATTCTTCATAGGATGATGTTGTTCTCCAAATTTGGTAATTGTTTTTTAATTTTGTTTATGGACTTATACCTGTTACATTTTCAAATCTATTTCTTATCTTTTTTATACTTACAATAAGATAAATATTTACTTATATTTTCTGATTGGTTTATGATCTTTAAAATTTTTTGTTATTAAAGTACAGTCAACATACAATATTATATTAGTTTCAGGTGTATCTGTCATTGTACAAAGTTAGTTTTATGATCTTATTGTAAAAATATTACCTTCAAATCCTTTTAGAATTTATTTGTGGGAACTAAAATAGAAAACTGACTGTATTTCCTTTCAAATTTGCCCACCATTTGTTCTAATACCATTTATTGATTAATCATTCTCTACAGATTTCAAAGACTGTCTTTTTATAATAAACTTTTATTTGTTTATTTTTAATATGTTTTTATTGATTTTTTTAGAGAGAGAGGAAGGGAGAGAGAGATAGGAACATCGACATGAGAGAGAAACATCAATTGGCTGCCTCCTGCTGGGGATCAAGCCTGCAACCCGGGCATGTGCCCTGACCGGGAACCAAACTGGGACCTCTCCGTCCATGGGGCACCTCTCAGTACGTAGGGCACTGCTCAGTACATAGGGCACTGCTCAGTCTACTGAGCCACACCGGCTGGGCTATGTGCACTTATCCATATACTTTGTGGGGTTTCTATGCTGTTTTCTTTACCTGTCTTTCTATTCTTATATCAGTAATACACTGCTTCAGGTAGCATCAGTTCATAATGAATCTTAGACATCTTGCATAACAAGTACCCTCACCCCATCTTCTTTTTTAAAAGGTTCCTGGAAGTTCCAACGTTAAAGTTTGCTTTTTTGGCTTGCTTATCTCAAAATGATGACAAAAGCAACTTGATACTTTCTTTGTCCTGTAGCTCCAGTATCGGCCAGATGAACTGATATGTTCATGCAGCCACCAACAATGCCTTTATCATTTGGAAAATGAAGTCCTTAGCCTCATGGTCTAAGAACTCCGACTAACCCAGTTAGCTCCATCAAATCTCCTACTGTGCTTACTTCAACTTTTTGTCAGTCTTTTATTATCTTCCTGAAACTCTCTTCTGCTCCTCCATTTCTGTCCTTTAAATTATACACACTCTGCAAAGCAACTAAAAATAAACTATCCGCAAGGGTTCCCTGAACCTCCTCTGTAATGAAATAGCACACTATGTCCTGCTGGTGTGGCCCAGCTGGTAGGAACATCGCCCGGTGCACCAAAAGGTCACAGGTTCATTCCTGGTCAGGGCGCAAGCCTGGGTTCATGCACGTACAGGAGGCAACCGATTGATGGTTCTCTCTCACAGAGAAATTTCTCTCTCTTTTTCTCTCTCTCAATTCAATAAAAATATATCCTCAGGTGAGGTTTTAAAAATAGCACACTATCATTATTTAATGGTCTATGACCTTTGACTCACATTTAGCTCCTTTTTCCAGCTTATTTTAGTAACTTGTATGGGTCTTGCTCCTTTGAAGCTCCACCTTTAAACCACCTGCCAGAACCCAGCAGGGATCCTCACACAGGACACTCTGTCACTGACTACCAATTTATGTCATTTGTTTTTCTTCCTGACCCTTCTTTACAATACAGAATGCTCTTCTGGGAAGCCTCGTGGTTTTGGCCACCTTTGTGACTTTATGCAATGCCCAGTGTATGTTCATACCTCGTACATACGTTCCAGGCGATCTCTCTAATGGTAAGTCCTGGCTTTTTAAGTTTATTATTTTACTGCAGCCCGGTAGATATAACCTGTTGATAGATGAAGGCCTTTAAACCACATGGGAAGGAAGGTTAGGGAAGATATCAAAGGGAGTAAAACGAGAGACTTCAGTTTGCCATTTATATAAGACAGTGTTTCTCAGCCCGAGGTGTATGAGAACTGCCTGGACAGCTAATGAAACCTACCAGTGCTCAGGGGCCATCCCAGTCCAGGCAACTCAGAAACCGTGGGGCGGAGCCACACATTTAAAGCTTCTTGATTGACCCCTACATGCAGGCAAAGAGCCATCGATTATTCCAAAGCAGTACTTCTCAAACTTCAAGGTGCATGTGCCTCTGAGGATCTCATTAAAATAAAGGTCCATGCTGTGGGCCTGCACGTCCAATGCAGTCTCCGGGAGCACACCTGGACCACAAAGGGTTAAGCAGCGGTTCTGACCCTTGGCTCAATATTTGAATCACTTGGGGAGCTTTCTAAAAATATGGCAGCCTGGGCCCCATGCCCAGAGATTCTGATTTCATTGTTCTGGGGTGGGACCCAGGCATAGCTTCAAAAAATATATATATCCAAGATGTTTTACATGTACTTTTAGAGTTGAGAAGCAAAACAAAGGGAAATTGAAAAATGAGACATTTATCCAGAGATAATCCAGCAGGAAAAAACCAACCAACCAACCAACCAAAACTTGGCTCCAAGTACCTCTAGGCTCACAATAGCTATCTGATTAAAGAGGAAGGCCTTATTTTTTTCTTGTAATGTCTATTTTGAAATAAAATCTGGAAGGGTTTCAGCTTGCTGTAAGAAAACATGATCAGTGCCATGAACTGGACAGTACTGGAATTTTGCTGTGGGTGAGCACAGAAGCACTTGTCTTTTATTTAAAAACATTTTTTTCCTTTACCGATTTTTAGAGAGAGAGGAAAGGGGAGAGAGAGAGATAGAAACATCGATGAGAGAGAACATTGATTGGCCACTTCCAGCCCCCCACCCCCACTCCCCCGGATTTGGCCCACAACCTGGCATGTGCCCTGACCGGGAATCGACCCGTTGACCTCTTGGTGCATGGGTCGATGCTCAACTGAGCCACACTGGCTGGGCTCTTTTATTCTTTTTAACGGATTTTTTAGGGAGAGAGAGATAGAAACATCAACGAGAGAGAAACATTGATCTGCACGCAGCCCACTGGGGAACTGAGCCCGCAACCTGGGCATGTGCCCTGACCAGGAATCGAACTGCGACTTCTCAGCCTGTAGGACAACACTCAATTCACTGAGCCACGCCAGCCGCTTTTTTTAGATGCTCTTAAAATTGATGAGATTTTCCCTCTCTGGTAGGGGTCCAGATGGCAGGGCTGGCCCCAATGTCCTACAAGTCTTGTTCCAGTTGCATGACTTGGGGACACCACTGCTGATGCCACATGTCTGATTTCAGAATGTACGGATGCCAATGGGGTCAAACACGCACTGAAGTCCACCTGGAAGACCGAGGACTGCAAGGAGTGTTCCTGTGGCCCCGACGGCGTTCACTGCTGCAGCACGTAAGTGCCGAGCCAGCGGCGCCACGGGCCGCCGCTGCGGGGCGCTGTCTCCGGGGCCGCGGCTGCCGCTCTGCCAGCATCCCACCCTGAAGGGGTTCAGTTTTCAGTCCTGCTTCTTTTCTTTTCCTTTTCTTTCTTTTTTTATCGTGGTAAAATATACATAACATAAAATTTAGCATTTTAACCATTTTTAAGTATAAAATTGTGTGGCATTAAGTACATTCACCTTTTTGTGCAACCATCTCCACCATTCATTTTCAGATTTTATCTTCCCAAACTGAAACTCCCTACCCGATAAGTAGCTCTCCGTTTCCCCTCTTTCCAGTCCCTGGCAACCACCATCCTACTCTCTGTCTCTATGACCCTAACAACTCTAAGTGGAATTGTACGGTCTTTGTCCTTTTGTGACTGGCTTATTTCAGTATAATGTCCTCAAGGGTCATCCGTGTTGCAGTGTGTGTCAGAACTTCCTTCCAAAAATAAAATGTATACACATATACATTTTATTTGTTTGTTCACCTGTTGATAGACATTTGGGTTGCTTTCACCTCAGTCTTATTTCTTTTAAGTTGTTTTCGAAACTTGATAAGTATCTTTATTATGAAATAGTTACATTTGAGTTGCTGGAGGTAGGGAATGGTACCCAGTGGTCTGAAGCTGTTGTAGAATGTAGCTGGCCTTCACTTCCGCCTGGGTCTGTGGCGATTTGCAAGAACTGAAGTGGATCTGGACACAGGCAGAGGGGACGGGTGTGAGGTATCAAGGATGATCTGCAGTGTTCCGTGCGCTCTAAACTCTTCACTGCTTATGTGTAACTTGCGTCAGCCCAAAGATCATGCAGATGTTTCCTGCTGGCTTGCTGTGGACACCAAATGTCTGGTACTTGGGCCAATAGAACAGAGCATACCTCCAGCATGGGCCTAATTTTTCTATTTCCTCAGCAGCTACACCATCTAGCTACTCCATTCCATAACTCCCCTGCAAAATCCATCTGATGCCTTCACTTTAACCTTGGCCTATAGTGTTTGACAAGAACAGGAGTGGTTTTGATGAAAGAAGCATTGGTATCAAGTAGTGTTTCCCAAACTTGCCTGATCACAGACTCATCTGGGAAAGCTTAATGAGATACAGACTCCTGGGGCCCATCCGAGAACCTACTGAATCAGAGGCTATGAGGCCTAAGGAATCTGAATTGTAACAAGTACCTCAGAGAGTCTGTGGCACCACCATTGAGCAGAGGAGCAAGCAATTGACTTAATCAGAACATCTGAGAGGTACAGAAGTTTAAATGTCCTAAAAGTTCCTAACACATATAATGAAGCATGGCCCATGCTAAGTACTTCACGGAACAAGAGGGATATCAGAGCAGGAGACTTTCTGGCTGGCTGCCAGAGTAGGTGTCCAGGTATTGCCTCAGCTGATCTTGACATTACAACTGAACCTTGATTTTGTAGCTCTGGAAATCTGACATTGTCTTTGTGTCAAGTGTCAGTGTGACTCTGCATGTGACTGTATCAGCGAAGTTAAGGGCTAGGGAACCATACCTCCCTAACATTGCAGCATACCTCCAAAGTGGCCAAAGCATGCATGTCGCCAGGATCTGACACCCCCACCCCCACCCGCCAGTTGGGCTATACAGCCTAGGGTTCCCCTGGACCTAGTGCAGAAAAGAGTGAAGTGGGATGAGCGTCGATGCTGGAGTAGAGTAACGGAGTCTGAATCTCCGTTCCCTTGTACACCTGCTGTCTGACCATGAATACATTTCTTAATCTCTCTTAGCCTCAGTTTCCCCACAGTAAAATAGGGATAATCAGGTGTATATGATAGTCAAATGAGATTCTGTATATAAATTTATTAAGTCAACATATATGTATGCCTTCTCTATGCCAGCCTGTGTCCCCTGAGCCTGGGGCAGTAATGAACACCTAGCTGGAACTCCACGTGTCCCTTCTCTCCTTCTGTCCATGTGCCTGTTCCATTTAGCACACTGCTCTGCAGGGAGGAAATGTGCACATTTCTCTCCGACGTTCAAAGCCAGCTCCTTTCCCCTGTAATTGCCTCATAGCCAACCACGTTTTTTTCATCTTTTTTTTTTTTTTGCTATAGCAAAATACAGCTTTTGATTAAATTTTCTCTAGGATAATTTTTTTTAACTCATTGCACTCTCTAGGGAACACTGTTCGGATCTCAAGCTGCCCCGTGGCCGCCCACTGCCAAGGCCCCCCACCCCAGGTGCCCTGGGAAATCTATTTCCAGTCCTCACTCTGTTTCCCAGATTACCCTTTGGGAGGAGGATTGAAATGTCTTCTTCTGTTTAAATAAGTCAAAGGTCAACTTTCGGAAAAAAATGTTCTCACAAAGGGCCCTGGTGGCAGCTACTTCTGTGTACACTTTGTGCAGGGGCGATTCAGATCTGGGATTTATGGGTTCCAAGAGAGTGATGAGCCCTAACATTATTTGTACCCTTGACTGTGTGGGTGGACTTTCCTGGAGAGACTGTCCCTGGGCTTCATGATCCTGGCCTGGAGTGACACCTTGTTCCTGTTGGCTTATTCAGCTTATTCCAATAGTTCTCTACTAGAATGGGACAGCTGTTCCCTTCCCACTTTCAAGCAGCGGTATGCTGGCCACTTCCTGAGCAAGGACAACAAGACAAGTCAGGCTAGAGCAAGCTGCGTGGCCCCAGAGTAGCCCAGACCTGCCTTTGGGCCTCTCGGAACTTACTACCCTCCTGGCATGCAGGGTGGATCTTAGGGATGATGACAGGGATGGTCCGTGTGTTCATAGACCAGGTTCCATGTGTTCAAATTCAGGTTTCTGAAGGCAGCACTTCAGGGTTGCAGGTCAAGGGGTGACCTTAAGTTGGTGAGGGGCATTCCTGATGGCTGGAGTGTGGGCTGCTTATGGAGCAGAGCTGGCCCCAAGGAGGCTGGGCATCCTATCCTTTCTAACATGCCTTGCTCTTGTCTCACTGACAGTGTTGCTGTACCTAAGGATTATGACATTAGCAAGTGCAAGAAAATCTTTGACAAGGACAACTGCAAGTTTATCGTGGTGGAGCAGGAGAATCCAGACCGACATTGTGTTGTCAGTAAATGGGTGTTGTAATGTGCTTCTAGTGGGCCCGGGTCCTCCCAGGCCAGGCCTCGTTCTCCTGTGGCCTCTTACAGTCTGGATTGTGTAACCCTACCTATCAGTAAAAAATAAAATAAAATAAAATTTGAGCAAACACTTGAATATGTGTGTACTTGTAATTTATGAATTATGTGTGCATTGATTTTTATACCCACTATAAAGCATTCAGACATTTAATGGAGAGAACAAAAAGAAATATGAATAAAGGTTATATGTTCCTATACTCTAATAAATCATTCTATGTCCCCACTTAGGCACTGCTGCTTCTGTTGCTTCAGATACAGTTATCTGCGCTGTAATGCCCCAGTGTCCCACTATCTGGTGAACAATTAAAAAAATAAATATGTCTTCAAAATGAAATCAGGTCCAGCCAGTGTGGCTCAGTGGTTGAGCATCGACCCATGCACCAAGAGGTGGTTGGTTCGATTCCCAGTCAGGACACATGCCCAGCTTGTGGGCCCGATTCCCAGTGGGGGGCATGCAGACGGCAGCCAAACAATGTTCTCTCTCATTGATGTTTCTGTCTCTTCTTCTCACTTCCTCTCTCTCTAAAAATCAATAAAGGAAAAAAAAATTTTTAAAAAGAAATCAGATCCCTTATTTTCTTTGTTTTCGTTTTTTTTTGTTTTTTTTTATCCTCACCCGAGGACATTCCTCCATTTTTGTTCAGATAGAGTGGGAGGGAGAGAGAGGAAGAGAGAAACATCGATGTGAAGGGACACATCGAGTGGCTGCCACCCGCACGACCAACCAGGGCCGGGGACAAACTGCAACCGAAGTACGTGCCCTTAGCGGGAACCGAACCCGGGTCTCTCTGTACCGCAGGCCGACGCTCCAACCGCTGAGCCAAACCGGCCAGGGCTGTTTTTCATTTTTATCCTTCCTTCCTCTTCTTCAGAGAACGTCCTCCATGGTGCGTCCCTCACATACCTCTGTGTTCACCTGAGGTCAGAGCAGGTTAGATAGAGCAGGACAACTTGGAAACAGTAGCTCTGAGACCACATGCAACCTGATGGGGTATTAAAAGGCCAGGGGCTCTGGCTTGGGGGAATGGCTTGAGTGCAAGGCTCCAGTATCAGTTGTCTCTGACTGCATACAGACCACCCCAAAATTTAGGGACTTAAACAGTGACAATGTCGCCCTGGCCAGTGTGGCTCAGTTGGTTGAGCATAGTCCCATGCACCAGAGGTTTGTTGATTCCTGGTCCAGGCATCGGCTTGATCCCTGGTCAGGGGGTGTGCAGGAGGCAACTGATTGATGTTCCTCTTTCTCTCTCTCTAAAACCAATAAAATCATATTTTAAAAAACTAAACATCTTATTTTACAAAGGTATGATTTAAAAAAACAACAACAAAAACAGTGACAATGTTGATCATCTCTTGCTTATGTGTTAGAAAACATCTGTTCACTCAACATATCTTTACTAATACTTGGGCCAGGCAGTGCTATGGACCTGGGGATACAGCAATGAACCAGAGAGACCAGGTTCCTGCTTTCCTGGGGCGTGGAGTCTGTTGTGTGTGTACGTGACAGATCACAAGCAAGCAAACTGTCCTCTATTGAATAATCCGGGCAAATGGGTAAAGAGCTTTATTTCTCCTCTGCCCCCTAACCCTATCTGTTCAAACATGCTATTGGGCTAGTTGAGCAATTCTAGGTAGGCTCCTTAGTTTTTTTTAGGTCATTCTACCATAATAAAAAAGTGCTTTGAGCCCGGCAGGTGCAGCTTAGTGGTTCAGCATGGACCCATGCACTGAGAGGTCTCCCGCTGGTTCAATTCCAGGTCAGGACACATGCCTAGGTTGTGGGCCAGGTCCCCAGTGGGGGGCATGCAGGGCGGCCAATTGATGTTCTCTTTCATGGATGTTTTTATCTCTCTCTCCCTTCCTCTCTATCTAAAATCAATAAAGAAAAAAATTTAAAAAGTGCTTTGGTTACTTTTAGTGAATCTGCTTCTGAATTGAAAAGGGAGTAGGGGAGGGGTGAGTTAAGGGTAGGATGCAGTCTTGGCTCCCTGGGCTTGTAGCAATGCTTAGAGTGAGTACTTCCTCACAGGCTCCGGTGGGCCTCTGACATTCCCTACTGCCCCTTTCCTCCACAGCTGCCCTTCCACTTAAAGACTGATTATGCCTCCTTAGCTTCTGCATATGAATCTACATTTCCTGTTGCTTCTGGCTGAGCTCGCCTTGCCCCTTGCAGGAGTCACTCTTGGGTGGGATCCATAAAACCCTATCATGATCATCTCCTTTGCAAACCCTACTTAGATGGCCCTTCACCTCTCTGGGAAAGGTGGGGTGCAGTTAGCACCCAGTATTGGGGGCCTCTGTCAAAACAGAGACGGAAAGATTCCTATTTTAATATCTGGTCACAAATAAATAAACAAAAAAATTCCAGTGTGGATAACCCACAGTGGGCAGAGTGTGAGGAGACGCAGAGTGGTGGAGTGCAGAAAACTGCTGTGACCTGCTACAGGCATGCTTTGGAGTCAGATGACGGGGCTTGGAATGCGGGCTCTGACATTTACTTATTTATTTATTTACTGAATTAAAAAATGGTGGCAAAATACACGTAACATAAAATTTGCCCTTTTAACCACTGTTAGAACACAACGGAGTGGCGCTGAGTACATTCAGAGCGCTGCGCAGGCATCACCGCATCACACACTGCAGAAGTCCCCCGCGCCCCAGCCCGCACTCTGTACCGGGCAACAGTAATTCACCGTCCCCAAGCTTGTGGCAACCGCCCTTCTGTTCTGGCTGCAAATCTGACTCCTCTGGGTGCATCAAGTAAGTGGACTCATGCAGTGTTTGTCCTTTTGTATCGATTCGCGAAGGCCAAATGATCTCCACCTGGCGAGGACATGTGATGTGACAGGATCACTGAGGCTATCAGTCGGTACAAAGTTCGCCTTCAAAAATATTTGTTTCATTTAATCTGATTTATTCAGGAAGGACGAAAGGACAGTGACCCAGAGCACAGGCAAGAGCGTGCGCCTGCGCTCTGCGCCCTCTGCAGGCGACAAGGCCTTTGGGCCGGCCCGAGCAGAGCTCTCGCGAGACTGTCAGACGTGTGCGTGAGGCGTGAGAGGAAGGCTGTGCTGTCGCGAGAACTCTGCCTCGGCCCTTGGCCTGTGTCAGGCGGCGCCTGTCTCCTGAAGGTCCCCTCGCAGCGCCCGGAGTCGCCGTTGGAGCCGGTAAGAACCGGAGCGGCGGGGAGAGCGGCGCGCCTCCTCCGGCTCTCGCTCCGCAGGCTGGGCCGGGCGCCCTGGCCGCCTGCCTGCGGGCTCGGGCCTGCCCTGCGGCCGGCCTCGTCCTCTCCACGCCGCCCGGGGCCCCTTCCCTCCCCGCGCCTCCCCGCCGTGACGGCGCCTGGTGCTTGCCCGCCTCGCCAGCGTCTCCGCGAGCGAGGAGGGCCCGTTTCCCAGAGAGTGCCCAGAATAGGTGCCCGTCCCGCCTGTTTCTGGGAGCGCGAAGAAGACGCTGTTTCTATCGGCCCTTTGTGTCCACCGCCTCGTGCATTCTCCCGGCGGCCCGAGCGTGAGCGCCCGCCGGCCGGCCGGGAGGGGCGAGGCGGGCGCGGCCCTGCCTCAGGCACCCGTGGCCACGTGTCTCTGCCTGTGTTCAGGGCGTTAGACTGGCAGTGAAAAGTAGTCGCAGCCGGTACTCTCGTGGACCTGGTTTCCTGCGACGGAGGAACGGTGGTTATAAATAGCCTCCGTGCCGCGTGGTGCGGCGGGGGACGCGATCGCGGCAGCTTCCCACCGACATTTGCCTTGTTTCTAACCGGGTCAGGTGCACCTGGCATCGCTTTGCACCACCCACTTGGTAATTTGGAAATATGGTTGGGTGAGGATGGGCAGGTAATCCTAGTTGGCTCTTTTTGCACTGCGATCCTCGTGTGACATTTATGAATTTTAATGACCATCAGACCCTTTGAGGAAGACTTACCCAGATGCTGCAGGGCAGGTGGGGGCAGGGGGCGTGTACCTTGTGGTTTAGGCAAGTTACCTGGTTCGCACTTGCCAAGATTTGCTAGCTTGCAAATTTGTTAAGATAATTGAGTGAGATAGTATATGGGAAGTCCAGCACGGTGACATTTGTTATATTTTATTTCTCCTTCCCCTTCTATGGAACTTTCGATCTGTTGGTTCCTAGGGAATATCCTATGGGTCTCAAAGTTTTATGATATTTTGTGTCTAAATAAACCTTTACAATTACATTACTACTTTTGGGCAAACAGGTATTTCAAAGGTGGAAAACTGTGGAGAGCTGTGTAAGGAAAGGAAGATGTGATTCTTGAAGCGGGAGGAGATACCGAATTTTCGGACCCCCCCCCCCCTTTTTTAAATCAAATCTGCTTAGCTGTGCCAGAATCTCGGGAACCTGTGTAGGGACTTCATAAAATTGCACAGGATATTTTGATACACATCTGAGAGCCTATTGGCTAGTGTTTTATAGTAATTTCCCTCATAGAGTGTGAGCATGCTGGAAGACATTCAGAGCCACTTATGGCTGCGGATGGACTTTTAAATCTTAGTCTCTTGTTTCATTGAATTAGTATTTTTTGTAGTTTTTGGTGAATCAGTGGCACAAATTCTCTAGGTGGCAAGTTCCCCATTATGTCCTCAGGGACTACACTGTATATGTCAGTTTAGGCACTCAGTAAGTATTGTTGAATGAATACATAATATCTTAATAACTAAGGGTAACAATTCAGTTCAGTGAAGTTGTCAACTTAAGCAACATTCAAACCTATAGAGAATTTTTGTGAGTGTATTTGAGCCAAACTGTCAACAATTGCCCGGAAGCAAAATCTCAACAGATTGTGATAATGCTCCACAGAATGGCAGTTTTGCACTTTATTTTATACATTATAATCAAAAGAGAAGATGCAAGTGGGTTACTTCAAATCCACTGGTGATAGATTAGGGAAGTGGGAGAAAGCAAACGGGAAAACTCTGGGAATGGATGAAAAGTAAAATGATAGACACATACATCTTTTGAGTACATTTAACAGTTAACAATTACTGTGATAACAATAACAATGAGAGGATTTATAGTCTCCTTCCTGGTGAATTGATTGTGCCTTGAGGGGTCTGGAGAAAAGAGAGTTACCCTGCATTCCAAAGCAATGTTATTGTAGATGCAAAAGACACTAGACAGGCTTAGTTAAGGTCAAGATGAACTTTTTGTCAAGGAAGAGTCTAGCCTAGATTTGAGTACCTGACATAAACTGCTTTTAGTTAAAAAGTTATTTTTAATTCAGACCATCCTTTGTGGTTACTTGAGTTTGCAAGGCCACCACACAGGCTGAGCTTGTCAGGTTAGCATGAGGCCCTTTTTCATTCACAGAGTGAATAACTGACAGAATAGGTTAACTTTTTTGCTTGTCTGTTTGGTCATAGATAGGAAGTTAAGTCTTTTAATACTTGGATGATTACAGATTTCATGAGAACAAAATATTGGGTATATATTGAGTTTTATTTTGGCATTATTGCTGGTCGCACAGGCTTTAGAGGAAAGAAAATATTTTGTCACTTGTTTACTTATATGGGAAAAACCACAAGATGTTTACTATATAAAATCAGGGATAAAATAGTATTATTACTGTGATGATAGATAAATACATGTTTTCCTATCCTTGACTATATTATGGTGAGAAGTATCAAGTTGAAGTTAGGGCACAGCCCCAGTTCTGAAAGCCTGCCAAACTTCTGTGATGTCAGCTGGAATGTTTGTGGCACTGCAAAATCTGAGAAAAAAAATCCAGAGTTGGTTGTAAATACAGTCATGTTTCCCCTTTAACCGACAGACCTGCTGGGGCTTATGGATCTGTTTAGCTAAACTTTGAAGGGTCTGGCATCAGAAAAGACACTTTATCTCAGTGTCTGTCCTAGAATCATGGTTTCAGTGGCAATACCCTTGCCAGTTTTATCTTGTTTTAAAACAAACAAAAGTAATGGAAACATTTCTACTTCTGAAAAACCTTCCTCAACTAATGAAGGCCTTGGTGGACACCAAGTATATTATTTATATGTTTAAAGCAGAACTATACCATACTTATTGTAGGTCTGAATTTAAGCATTTGTTTATCATTTTTTTTCATCCATCCATTTATTTAAGTATGTATTAAGCCTCTTGAGTTTAGGGCCACAGCAGTGCACAACTCTAGGGCCACTGTTCTCTTTCTGTCAGTTGCACATAGAATGTAAAGGGAGTTAGTAATGCCAAGGTACTGATACCAGGCTATCTGTTCAACAATAGGGTGTACAAAGCCAAATAAGACATGGACCCTTCTCTTGGAGAACTCTAAGGCTAAGGAAGCAATAAGTAAAAATAAAATAACATGTATTACAGGTATCATGCTGGAAACCCATGCATATTACAAAGGAAGCAGCTGCTAACTCTGCTGTCTAAAACTATTGAGGAATGGGGTGCTTGGTCAGGAAAGGTTCATTAGTAGCTGTGACTTGAGCGTAGTTAGAAAAATGGACAGGCAGGAACTAGCATTGCTGGCAGAGAGAGTGGGAGAGCCAAGCTGGACAAGGCGAACCAGCCTGGGCAATGCATGGAACAAGCTGTCTGGAAGATCATGGTGTGGGGCTGCTCTGGGGAGAATGCAGGAGAGTCAAGCTGAAGCCAGAAAATAGAGAATTTTATTGCCTTTATAAGAAATTTATCCTGTAGGCAACTGTGAAGTCATTGGGGAGTTATAGTTTATGCTCTCTCTAGATGAGCTGATCTACTAGGAAATGAGACAGCATAGAACTCTTGAAGCAAAAGAGAAGTAAGATGCTTTATGAATTTTTTCCCCTTTAGAACATAAAAATTTTATAAAGATCCAAGGACAAATAATGCAGTTTAAGGGAGTGAAGAAGTGCTTGCAATTTGGTCTAACTGCAGAATTCTAATAGATTTTTATGATTTTTTTCCTCAGCCTTTTTATGTTTATGTAATATTTTAAAAAATCACATCATTATAGTAACAGCTGAAGCTGGCATAAACTGACAAAATAAACACTGACTCTCAGTAATTGTGTAACTCAGTGGGAATTCAGGTGAGGGAGAGCTGGAGCATTTAGTGAAACATAGGTCAATATCTTTTAGAAAGAGCTTAGAGACTGTTGGTTATGTAGGTGACTTAAAGGGGCACATAAAAGAGAGATGAAAGTTCTTTGCATCAGTTATATTTTAATAGAAAAATCCCTCCTTTCTAGCTATTGACTGAAAGTAGAAAGGGCCATAAAAATTTAGCTGTTCATCATTCGGAGGTATATCTAGTTTTCTTCTTGTATCTTCACAAAATGTTATTCAATGAAAGTATTTTGAAGTAAGAGAGAAATTGTTTTCTCAGTTTTGGTAATAAATGCCTGAAATGGGATCCAAGAAATTGTGGGCATCACAGTTAAAGCAGGCTCCTCCACAAACTATTCATCTGAAATCTGAGGGATGCTTAATTGAGGGTGATGGCCTTTAGGGTTCACTCATGGATGTTTTTCATTGACTTTCAGAGAGAGTGGAAGTGGGAGAGAGACAGAGAGACAGACAGACAGAGACAGACAGGGATCAAACTGAAACTTAGTTATGTGCCCTGACTGGGAATTGAACTTGCAACCTTTTTTTTTTTATCCTCACCCGAGGACACTTTTCCATTTTTTGTTCAGGTAGAGTGGGAGGGAGAGAGAGGAACAGAGAGAGAGAGAGAGAAACATCGACGTGACAGGAACACATCGAGTGGCTGCCACCCGCACGACCGACCAGGGCTGGGGACAAACTGCAACCGAGGTACGTGCCCTTAGCGGGAACCGAGCCCAGGTCTCTCTGGACCGCAGGCCGACGCTCTAACCGCTGAGCCAAACCGGCCAGGGCTGAACTTGCAACCTTTTGATGTTGGAGACCATGCTCCAGCCAACTGAGCCACCTGGCCAGGGCTAGGGTTCCTTTTCTGGTCATGTGGTTTTGCTTTACTCTCCCTGTTTACAAAAGTAGGTTTATATGCGTAGACAAGAGTATTTTACATTTAAAAAAATTAATTGAAAGTGAATGTCAGTGCTGGCTAGATTTTATCTTCTGGCCAGATTGAAAGTACCATGAACATGATAATCGTAAGACAGGAAGTACTTAATGGGTGCCAGGCACTGTCCTAAACATTTTACACATATTAATTCATGTAATTCTCTTAGAATTAGTTCCATTACTATTGTCCCCATTTTACAGATGGGACTCTGAGGCACAGATTGGTTAAGTGACTTGCCTAAGGTTGCACAGCATCTAAGTGGCAGAGCCAGGTTTTGTACCAAAACGGATCCATCTTCTTAACCACCGTGTAACGTATTGTCTTCCAGATAGGGCTTTATTTCACTTATGTAGTCACAGCACCTAGAATAGTGCCTGGCATCTGGAAGGTGCTCAGTCAACTTTTGTTCAATGAAAAGTATCCATGAGTGTTAAAGCAGCACTGGACTGAGACCGTGTGGGAGTGTGTATGTGTATGAGAGAAAGAACGAACCATAGACACCGGGCATGTGTGTGTTTGTGTGTGTGTGTGTGGGGGGTCGGGGGCATTACAGGTAGAGGTGTGTCAGAGATGTGAGGAGATGTCTGAGAACCTGAAACTAGGGCTGAACCTCCAGCTGGGCTAACAGTGATAATCTCAGAGGGAGTCTTAAGCTATTGACCAGGAACATTCCAACAATAACTCGGTAAGCTTCTGCCTGTCCCACGTTTATTTCTCTGTAGTAATTAGCAACAAAATCTTAAATTAGCAGCAAAATCCTTAAATCATGGACGTCTTGACGATTTGGGGCACAGCGGGGTGAGTGGACA